GCCTATTTTCCAAAAAAAAAAGAAAAAAATAAAAAAAGGGAATTTAGAAATTTCTCTTGAATTGACTCTTTACCAAACCCAGTAACTGGGTTCAATGAAGCCCAACAGATCTGGGTTCGGTGATTGCAGTTGGAAAGAGGAAGAAAGAGAAAGAAAGAGGGGGAAGAAAATGGATTGAGAGGGAGAGGGTCATAATATAATTTTGTTGTTTTTTTATTTTTTTATTAAAAGTATAAATATTCATATAATGTGGCATTTTTATTTATCCATGTAATTCAATTACAAGACATGTCATTGTCACCTCATTAAAAGAATTTAAAAAAATGCCATTAATTATTTAGTAGTTATGTTATACTTAACTAAATGATGGATTAAAATTTTGTAATTTTTAGAGTTAAAAGATAAAAAAAGAGTAAAAAATAGTTAAAGGATGAAAATTGCATAACATTATAAAGTTGACAAATAAAATTAACATTTAACTAAGAAGAATATATGTCCGGAGGTTCGAAACTTTAAAACAAAGTTATCAATACTATACGGGTGCACGTATCGGTTTTGTTATTAAAATAATATATATTAGAAATTAAAATTTTTCGTGTATCATTTTGAATTTATCATTATAAATATATATGTTTATAAAAAAATAAATATTTTATAATAGATGAAATATTAATTAAATTTAAATATATGGTTAAACTCCATTTTGGTCCCTCAACTATTGTATGTATTCTTGATTTAGTCCCTTAACTCAAAAACTCCTGATTTGATCTTTATTGTTTATTATTTTTACCCTGATATGGTCCTTTTGTTAAAAATCTTGTGATGTGACTTATTAATTCACGGTTATATGATGACATATCAAATATTAATACACATGGAAGACAATATGACAAAAAAATGATGACATGAAAAAATATTAATATAAAAAATATTAATATGAAAAATAAACTTAATTTTTTTTTTCTTTTTCCTTCTCTTTCCCCTTAGAACCCAGCATGCTTGGGTTCCTTCAAACCCAAGCACTGGGTTTGGTGGAACCCACACCTCTGTTCCCAGGAACCCAGGCATGTTGGGTTTGAAGGAA